ATGCCGTTTGTTTTTGGAATATCTTTGCCCCAATTCAACGATCTCGTATCTCTTATGGTGGCCGAGATTCCAATGATGAGGCTCCTAGAACAGGTATCTTGTATATTTCAAATATGAGGCAATTTTTAACGGTCCAAAACGAGGTTTTGCCTTGTTTTCTTATCGTAAGTTTTAAATTTGATTATAATCTTCGATTGTTAAACTTCCAAAATTTAAAACAAACTTATAAAATGGGACAAGCTACGCGGAATTTAAATGTACTGGAAGTGCAATTTTATATTTAAATAAAAACGAAATCATCCTTAATCAAGCATCCTTAATTCAGGCGTTAATTTTCGAAAAAAACATACTTTGTCATTACCAAATCAGCTCAAGAAGGGACTATATACGTCCCTTCTTGATTTGAATTTATATTTCAATTCTCTTATATACATTTAAATACATACTCTATATGCCTATCTATATGAAAACGTAGGTACTTAAAGCAAGGTACTGTAGGTCAGGTCGAAATTACATTTTGTGGTTCGTTTTTGCTTATGAATTTAACTGAAAACCTAAAATGGAAAACAATGTTCTAATCCGCCCTCGAATCCACCTTACAAATATTTTCCTCAATAGACAATTTATTTCCATTTCAATTTCTCGTCTGAGAAATTCTGGAATAATATGGAAGAAATCATACACTAAATGCTAGAAATGTAGTACATTATTCATATTTTCTTTAAAAAAATTGTTTTTTTAAAGCGCAAAATTATTCTATTTTTCTAAAAACTTTCGCATGTTGTCTGTTATCATTGTTGATTCACCTACGAATAATTCTTCATACTTCGATTTGTTATTTTGTCAGTTTTTTTTAATATCTTGATTATGGACTTGAAAATGTTCTGTTTTTTCACAACGATTAATTAAGTACTGTATGGTTAGCATGAAATAGTTTAATTAGTGGTTCTTGTAAAATTTTGATATTTCGTTTCGTGGTACAGAACAACTGATTTAAGGAACATTGAGTGTTTAAAAAGTTATTCGTTTTGTCCATTTAAATTGTACTATCCTCGGCAACAACTACATACTTTTTATATTAAAAAATAAAATGTATAAGAAAAATTGGATAATAGCGTTGGTGCAATTACGTTAAGTTGCAAAATGTCGTTAATATGGACAATAACGGGCCTATGTTTTAAAACATGTAATTTTTAACACCATTTTCTGTAGGCAGATGCTATTCGATATCATTGTCGGTGGTTTGTTTTCAAATAATTTTATTTAAGAATAAATACGAGAGCAATTGTGGCCTTAATGACCTGTTTTCAACACACAGAACTCTTATAGCAAATGTCCTAATTTTTATTATAAATTTGCCATTCCGTTGAATTCAGGAAGCATTTAGCTTGCTAAAAATACAGTAATATTTACAGGTTCATTATAAAAAATAAACAAAAGTAATGGTTGCGCAATGTGTACTCCGTGTGATCATTTAGTAGAAAGACCAAATTAGTCACATTTTAAGATGTGTGATCAAATTAGGAGGCGAAATGATAAAAACGATTAAGCGAAGTTTCAGTTCTGTGGCGATTTATCCAAAAGTATTCGGTATTTTCAAATTTCCAATACGGCGCTTTGTTGGCACTCACGAAATCGAATTTGAACCATCCTGTACACATCACATCACAATTAAAGCACCACTAAAATTTGGCACAAGTTCAAAGCCAGTGTTCCAGCAAGTCGCAGCTTCGATTTTAAATTTATTTTTTAATTTTAGCTTAATTCTTGATCAATGACTTGGCGATATAATTTTGCATTTGAAGTTTTAAGCAGTTATATACTGGGTGTTTATAAAGGCGTCACTTGCTCTGCCTGCTAACCAGCGCTCGTTTATCTAATGCAAATTGACATCTGAAATTTTCAGATTACTTGATTTTTTATTCGTTTTTCTTTCGTATTTTGTGGAACCCTTTGACGTTGTCTGTGGACCTTCACCTTTTTCTGAGCTAAAGGGAGTAAAAAAACGAATGCAGCTTATCAGAATTATTTTATTTGGTTGTGTTTTGCTTTCGCTGTTC